GTCACAGTCTCGGGGTCGTGGGATTGAGACCCGCCCTCGGACTCCAAGCTCAGTGGGGAGTTTGCTTGGGATTCTCTCCCTCTCCCTTTCTCTCTCTCTCTAAAATATATAAATAAATCTTTTTTTTTTTTTTAAAGGAGCACACTTTTAATGAGCAACGAGTACGGTATGGAATTGCTGAGTCAGTATATTGTACCTGAAACTAATCTAACACTATATGCTAATTATATGTGAATAAAAAGTGTTTTGGAACTAGATAGAGGTGGTGGTTGTACAACACTGTGAATGTGCTAAATATCACTGAATTGTTCACTTAAAAAACAAAAAAGAAGAATGGACTGATGAGAACAAGAATGAAGGCAGGGAGACAATTAGGAGGCTACTATTAAGTAATCCTGTAGATGATGGTGAACTGGATCCAAATGGTTAATAGTAGAAGCTCCTGAATCTTGGGGCGCCTGGGTGGCTCAGTCATTAGGCGTCTGCCTTCAGCTCAGGTCATGACCCCAGGGTCCAGGGATCGAGCCCCACATCGGGCTCCTTGCTCAGCGGGAAGCCTGCTTCTCCCTCTCCCACTCCCCCTGCTGTGTTCCCTCTCTCACTGTCTCTGTCAAATAAATAAAATCTTTAAAAAAAAAAAAAAAAAAGAAGCTCCTGAATCTTATTTCCGTAACAGCTTTAGAAAATGCACATTCACTGATATAATCTGTTGAAATCACATTGAAACAATTTCAATGGGAGAGAGGTGTATGAGATTCTACTATTAATGCTGAAATTAAAGACAATATTCTAAAACAAAGTAACAGCTCAACTGTTTCAAATAGGAAGTCTTATCTACAATGATCAAAAAATCAGCTGAACTGTCACACTTTTCATGGTAATTAACCTCATGCTTGACAAAATAAACAAATTTCTTTAACACTGTCTAAGTATAAAGTAAATGAAGGATTACATGCACATAGAGTAATTTGCTCTACATAGGAAAGAACAAAGAACAAGAAGAGATATATAGATAGATAATAATAGATAGATAAATTATCAGGTATCCACTGTGTGAATGGTACTACAGTAGGAGTTTCATGTGCAAACTTACAGACTGTTAAGAGATAACTGTCCCTGGGGCACCTGGGTGGCTTAGTTGGTTAAGTGTCCAACTCTTGATCTCACCTCAGGTCTTGATCTTAGGGTTGTGAGTTCAAGCCCCATGTTGGCCCCACTGGGCGTGGAGCCCACTTGAAAAAAAATAAAAAGAAAGAAGAAGTAACTGTCCCTAACCACGGGAAGCCCGCATTAAAGGGAAGAGACAAATTAATTATAGGATCAGCTCCTAAATGCTCCCTATAAGACATCACAAATAGGGCGCCTGGGTGGCTCAGTTGGTTGAGCGACTGCCTTCGGCTCAGGTCATGATCCTGGAGTCCCGGGATCGAGTCCCGCATCGGGCTCCCTGCTCGGCAGGGAGTCTGCTTCTCCCTCTGACCCTCCCCCCTCTCATGCTCTCTCTCTCTATCTCGTTCTCTCTCTCAAATAAATAAATAAAAATCTTTAAAAAAAAAAAAAGACATCACAAATAAAAAATGGCAAAATAAAGCTCCAAATAAAGGAAAGCTTTCTAAATTGATTCTCTGTAAGAAAAACTTAACTGGTAAGCAAGCAAAGGTTCATCTGACTTGTTATACCCAACAATGAAGGAGGTTAAAATTCCCAAATGAATCATCTATGGCCAGTTCAGTCACATAAAGTATACCATCATTATGTCTTAAAACAAAATTCTCTAATACAGAAAAAAGAACAATAATTGTTTCACATGGTGAGCCACAAGCTGGAAATGGTCTTATCTATTGGAAAAACGTAATAAAACTAAAAAGACCAAGAATTAATGGCACAAAAGGTATAATTTCTAACAATGACTTATCAATATGGCATTATGTAGTTAGCTTTATGGTTATAAAGTTGGATTATTTTAATATAAAAAAGTTTTAATAAGAGCTATTGACCACTAACTCTATAACAATGCAAGAGTTTTTCTATAGTGGTTATTTACATTGGAATGAACTACACAGTAAGTCTGCAAAAGCCTCACTTTCTTAAAGTATGGGTTAAGGATTCTGGAAACTATATTTTATACATACACCCCAAATAAGACACTAATCTAACAAAAGAATTTCCTTTAATCTGTAAATGTTTGTAAAAAATCATCTGAAAATGAAAGACATGCCACAAATTAGGAGAATATATACCATATATAAACAAAATATTAGTATCCTAACATTTAAAGACTTCTAAAAAACAATAAGCAAATCAAATTATCAGTTTAAAATAGAGTATCAATGGAAAATGAGCAAAATATACTATAAGTATTTTACAAAGTTAGAGAAATGACCAATGAATACATGAAGAAAATGCTCAACCTCAGTAGTAATCAGGAACATGCCAATCAAAACACCCTATGTCATTTTACCTCTATCAGTTTAACAAATATTAAAGAATCAAACAATAAGATATGGGACAACAGGCATTCATTCTTATTCCCTTAATAGGAGCATAAATTGGTGCAACCATTTTGAAAACTAATTTGGCATTGCGTAGGAAAGTTGAAGACACACATACCCTTACAACTCAGCAATTCCACTTCTAGGTATATATCCCTGAGAAACTCTTACACATGTGCACAGAAAGGTGTACAACATAATGTCTGTGTAGCATTGTTTGTGGTTAGTAACAGTAAAAGAATAACACTAGAATCTAATTATCCATTCACAGAAGAAATACAGAATATTCACACACTGGAATACTACCCAGAAGTAAAAATGATACCTCAATGAAAAATAAATCTCAGGGGCGCCTGGGTGGCTCAGTCAGTTAAGTGTCTGCCTTCGGCTCAGGTCATGATCCCAGGGTCCTGGGACTGAGCCCTGAGTTGGGCTCCCTGCTCAGCAGGGAGTCTGCTTCCTCTCTCCCTCTGCCCTCCCCCTGCTTCTGCTCTCTCTCTCTCTCTTTCTCTGTGTCAAATAAATAAATAAAATGTTTTAAAAAATAATAAATTAATCAAGAGAGAAAGAAGTAAAAATGAATGATTTACAGAATATAACATGGATGAATCTCACAATGTTGAAGAAGGATGTTATGATTCCTTTATATAGATATTAACAACTAACACTCAAACAATACTGCCTGTGTAATAGGCACCGTACACTGTGCTCTCTGCATATAATGATTCATTTAATCCTTATAACAGCCTTATCAGGTAAATTCTGTTTTTTTCAAATTTTCTTTCTTTCTTTATTTGAGAGAGAGAGAGAGAGAAAGAAAGACGGGAGATGCAGAGGGGGAGGTTGAGGGACAAGCAGACTCCATGCTGAGCACAGAGCCCGACATAGGGTTGGATCCCATAACCCTGAGATCATGACCTGAGCCAAAACCAAGAGTCGGACACTCAACCAACTGAGCCACCCAGGCGCCCCAGGTGAATTCTATTTTTAATCTCTATTACCCATACATGAAGAAACAGGCATGGAGAAGTAATACGCCCTAATCACATGATGGCATAACCACCTGTCATGAGAATCTGTGCTCTTAGACCCCTGACATTACACTGCCTCTCAAAAATACGCAAAACTAAACAACATCTAGGGATACATACATAATTACCAAAACTATAAAGAAAATACAAACATAATTAAGAGCAGTGTTACTGAGGGAAAAGTAAAAGGCACGTAATTGGGAAAGGTTCACATGGGGACTTCAAAGTTTCAATAATGTTCTAATTCTTTTTTTTTTTTTAATTCCAGTATAGTTAACATACAGTATTATATGAGTTTCTGGTGTACAATTAGTGATTCGACAATTCTATATATTACTTAGCGATTATCATAAGTATACTCTTACTTCCCTTCTCCTATTTCACCCATCCCACCACCTACCATCCCTCTGGTAACCATCAACTTGATCTCTATAGTTAAGTCTATTATTTTTGTTTTTGTCTCCTTTTTAATGTTCATTTCTTTTGTTTTTTCTTTTTTTTTTCCACCAGTGAGATCATATGGTATTTGTCTTTCTCTGATGGAATTATTTCACTTAGCATTATACCCTCTAGATCCATCCACATTGTTGCAAATGGCAAGATTCCATTTGTTTTCCTAGCTGAGTAATATTCCATTGTATAAAACACTACACCTTCTTTATCCATTCACCTATCGATGGACACTTGGGCTGCTTCCATAATTTGAATACTGTAGAAAATGCTGCAATGAAGATAGGGCTGCATGTATCCCTCTGAATTAGTATTTTTGTATTCTTTGGGTAGTAAATACCTAGTAGTCCAATTGCTGGATAACAGGGTAATTCTATTTTTTAATTTTCTGAGGAACCTCCATACTGTTTTCCAGAGTGGCTGCATCAGTTGCATTCCTACCAACACTGCAAAAGGGTTCCCCTTTTTCCACATCCTTGCCAACACCAGTTGTTCCTTGTGTTGATTTTAGCCAGTCTGACAGGTGTGAGGTGATCTTTGTGATTTTGATTTGCATTTTCCTCATGATGAGTGACGTTGATCATCCTTTCATGTGTCTGTTGGCCATCTGTGTATTTTCGTTGGAGAAATGTCTGTTCATGTCTTCTGCCCATTTCTTAATTGGATTATTTGTTTTTTGGGGTGTTGAGTTGTATATAAGTTTTTTTTTTTGAAGATTTATTTATTTGAGAAAGAGAGAGTGTGAGAGCGTGTGCATGTGCACAAGCTGGAGGAGGGGCAGAGGAAGGAGAGAATCCTCAAGCAGACTCTGCTAAGAATGGAGCCTGACATGCGGCTCAATCCCAGGACCCTGTGATCATGACCTGAGCCAATATCAAGAGTCAGACACTCAACTGACTGAGCCACCCAGGCTCCTCATGGGTTTTCTATTCTGTTCCATTGATCTATGTGTCTATTTTTGTGCCAGATGATACCAGTTTGATTACTACAGCTTTGTAGCATATCTTGAAATCTAGGTTTCTGATACCTTCAGTTTTGTTCTTCTTCTTCAAGACTGCTTTGGCTGGGGGGCGGAGCAAGATGGCAGAGGAGTAGGAGACCTGGATTTCGTCTGGTCTCAGGAATTCAGCTGGATAGGGATCAAACCATTCTGAACACCTACAAAACTCAACAGGAGATTGAAGAAAAGAATAGCAACAACTCTCTGAACAGAAAAGCGACCACTTTCTGGAAGGTAGGACATGCAGAGAAGTGAATCCGAGGTGATATTCGGGAGGACAGACAGCGGGGGAGGGGGCCTCCACTGGCCGCTTCTGGCAAGTGATATAGCAGCGGAGCACAAAATCGGAACTTTTATAAGTCGGCTCTGCTGAGGGGCATCGCTCCAGTAGCTAAGCAGGGGGTGGAATCCTCGTGGGACAGTGTGGTCTCAGGACCCTCGGGGTCACAGAAAGATTGGGGGTGCCTGAGTGCGGCAGAGCTCCCAGGTATCTGAGCGGGGAAGCCAGCTGCAGAGATGGAGCCGAGGAGAGGGCTCTCAGCTCAGGGTTGCCATAAACTGTGATCTGTGGCACAGTCGGGCCACTGCTCCTCCAGCAGGGACCCAGCAGGAGGCAGATCTGGGGAGACTCCCCTTCCTCCCCCGGGGGGAGTGGTGTGGGAGCGCACCACAGGGATCTGCTGGGTTTGGAGACTCCACACCGAGTCCGGTGCCAGAGATAGAAATGCTCAGTCACAGGCTGGGTGAGCACGGAGTGCGGCCGGAGACCGGGGAGACGGGAGTGATTGACTGCTTTTCTCTGGGGGCACACTGAGGAATGGGGGCCCGAGTTCTTGGCTCCTCCGGGGCGGAGACTGGGAGGCCACCATTTCACTCTTGTCCTCCAAAGGTGTACGGAGAGCTTGCAGGGAACAAAAGCTCCCGAGAGCAAACCCGAGCAGATTACTTAGCCTGGAATGGGCAAGGGCGGGGCAATTCTGCCTCTGGCAAAGACATTTGGGAACCACGGCAACAGGCCCCTCCCCCAGAAGATCAGCGAGAACAGCCAGCCAAGACCAAGTTTACCGATCAACAAGAACGGCAGAACTCCAGTGCTTGGGGAAAAATGCACATAGAATCCATGGCTTTTTTACCATGATTCTTTAGTCTTTCAAAGTTAATTTTTTTTAACTGTCTCTCTTTTTTTTTAATTTTTCTTTTTCCCTTTTTCAACCAACATCTTATCAATACCTTTTTTTAAAAAACATTTTTATTTTTCATTTTTAGAGTCATATTCTATCCCTTCATAGTAGTTACCCTTATTTTTGGCATATATATATATATATATAAGTTGTTCTCTCTTTAAAATTTTGAGATAGTTTCTTCTAACAGATCAAAATATACCCTAAATCTCTAGTGTATGGTTTTGTTCTACTCTCCTGCCTGATCACATTCTCTCCCTTTTTTTTTTCTTTTTTTTTTAATCCTCTTCTTTCTTTTTTCAAACAACTTCTTATCAATTCCTTTTATAAAATTTTTTATAATTTTCATTTTTACAGTCATATTCCATCCCTTCATCATATCAACCCTTATTTTTGTACATACATAAGTTTTTCTTTCTTTAAAATTTTGGGAGGCACTTCCTTCTAACAGACCAAAATACACCCAAAATCTAGTGTGTGGCACTGATCTATGCACCACCATGATCATATCTGATCATATTCTGTTTTTTTTTGTTTTGTTCCATTTCTGTTTCTGTTTCTTTTTCTTTCTTCTTTCTTTCTCTTTCTTTTCCCCCAGTTTCAGGTCTTTTCTGATTTGTTTAGAGTATATTTTCTGGGGATGTTGGTACCCTGTTAGAATTTTGTTCTCTCATTCATCTATTCTCCTCTGGACAAAATGACAAGACGGAAAAAATCACCTCAACAAAAAGAACAAGAGGCAGTACCAACTGCCAGGGACCTACTCAATACGGACATTAGTACGATGTCGGATCTAGAGTTCAGAATCATCACTTTAAAGATACTAGCGGGGCTTGAAAAAAGCATGGAAGTTATTAGAGAAACCCTTTCTGGAGAAATAAAAGAACTAAAATCTAACCAAGTCGAAATCAAAAAGGCTATTAATGAGGTGCAATAAAAAATGGGGGCGCTAACTGCTAGGATAAATGAGGCAGAAGAGAGAATCAGTGATATAGAAGACCAAATGATGGAAAATAAAGAAGCTGAGAAAAAGAGAGATAAACAACTACTGGATCGTGAGAGATAAGCGATACCGTAAGACGAAACATTAGAATAATTGGGATCCCAGAAGAAGAAGAAAGAGAGAGAGGGGCAGAAGGTATATTGGAGCAAATTATAGCAGAGAACTTCCCTAATTTGGGGAAGGAAACAGGCATCAAAATCCAGGAAGCACAGAGAACCCCTCTCAAAATCAATAAAAATAGGTCAACACCCCGACACCTAATAGTAAAACTTACGAGTCTCAGAGACAAAGAGAAAATCCTGAAAGCAGCTCAGGAGAAGAGATATGTAACCTACAATGGCAGAAACATTACATTGGCAACAGACCTATCCACAGAGACCTGGCAGGCCAGAAAAGACTGGCATGATATATTCAGAGCACTAAATGAGAAAAATATGCAGCCAAGAATACTATATCCAGCTAGGCTGTCATTGAAAATAGAAGGAGAGATAAAAAGCTTCCAGGACAAACAAAAACTAAAGGAATTTGCAAACACGAAACCAGCCCTACAAGAAATCTTGAAAGGAGTCCTCTAAGCAAACAGAGAGCCTAAAAGCAACACAGACCAGGAACAGAGACAATATACAGTAACAGTCACCTTACAGGCAATACAATGGCACTAAATTCATATCTTTCAATAGTTACCCTGAATGTAAATGGGCTAAATGCCCCAATCAAAGGACACAGGCTATCAGATTGGATTAAAAAACAAGACCCATCGATATGCTGTCTGCAAGAAACTCATTTTAGAACCAAAGACACCCCCAGATTGAAAGCGAAGGGGTGGAAAACCATTTACCATGCTAATGGACACCAAAAGAAAGCTGGGGTGGCAATCCTTATATCAGACAAATTAGACAAAGACTGTAATAAGAGATGAGGAAGGACACTTCCTCATCTACTTAAGGGTCTATCCTACTTAAAGGGTCTATCCTACAAGAAGATCTAACAATTGTAAATATCTATGCCCCTAACATGGGAGCAGCTAATTATATAAGGCAATTAATAACAGAAGCAAAGAAACACATTGACAACAATACAGTAATAGTGGGGGACTTTAACACCCCCCTCACTGAAATGGACAGATCATCTAAGCAAAAGATTAACAAGGAAATAAAGACTTTAAATGACACACTGGACCAAATGGACTTCATAGACATATTCAGAACATTCCATTCCAAAGCAATGGAATACACATTCTTCTCTAGTGCCCATGGAACATTCTCCAGAATCAATCACATCCTAGGTCATAAATCAGGTCTCAACCGGTACCAAAAGATTGGGATCATTCCCTGCACATTTTCAGACCACAATGCTTTGAAACTAGAACTCAATCACAAGAGGAAAGTTGGAAAGAACTCAAATACATGGAGGCTAAAGAGCATCCTACGAAAGAATGCATGGGTCAACCAGGAAATTAAAGAAGAATTTAAAAAATTCATGGAAACCAATGAAAATGAAAACACAACTGTTCAAAATCTAATCTGTCCTAAGAGGAAAGTATATAGCAATACAAGTCTTTCTCAAGAAACAAGAAAGGTCTCAAGTACAAAACCTAACCCTCCACCTAAAGAAGCTGGAGAAAGAACAGCAAATAAAGCCTAAACCCAGCAGGAGAAGACAAATAATAAAGATCAGAGCAGAAATCAATGAAATAGAAACCAAAACAGTAGAACAGATCGACGAAACTAGGAGCTGGTTCTTTGAAAGAATTAACAAGATTGATAAACCCCTGGCCAGACTTATCAAAAAGAAAAATGACCCAAATCAACAAAATCATGAATGAAAGAGGAGAGATCACAACCAACACCAAAGAAATACAAACAATTATAAGAACATATTATGAGCAACTCTATGCCAGCACATTAGATAACCTGGAAGAAATGGATGCATTCCTAGAGATGTATCAATACCAAAACTGAACCAGGAAGAAACAGAAAACCTGAACAGACCTATAACCACTAAGGAAATTGAAGCAGTCATCAAAAATCTCCCAACAAAAGCCCAGGGCCAGATGGCTTCCCAAATTCTACCAAACATTTAAAGAAGAATTAATACCTATTCTTCTGAAATTGTTCCAAAAAATAGAAATGGAAGGAAAACTTCCAAACTCGTTTTATGAGGCCACCATTACCTTGATCCGAAAACCAGAAAAAGACCCCATCAAAAAGGAGAATTACAGACCAATATCCTTGATGAAAATGGATGCAAAAACTCTCACCAAAATACTAGCCAATAGATCCAACAGTACATTAAAAGGATTATTCACCACGACCAAGTGGGATTTATCCCTGGGCTGCAAGGTTGGTTCAACATCTGCAAATCGATCAACGTGATACAATACATTAACAAAAGAAAGAACAAGAATCATATGAGACTCTCAATAGATGCAGAAAAAGCATTTGACAAAGTACAGCATCCTTTCATGATCAAAACTCTTCAGAGTATAGGGATAGAGGGTACATACCTCAATATCATAAAAGCCATCTATGAAAAACCTACAGCAAATATCATTCTCAATGGGGAAAAACTGAGAGCTTTCCCCCTAAGGTCAGGAACACGGCAGGGATGTCCACTCTCACCACTGCTACTCAACATAGTATTAGAAGTCCTAGCCACGGGTGCCTGGGTGGCTCAGTTGGTAAAACGACCGCCTTCGGCTCAGGTCATGATCCTGGAGTCCCAGGATCGAGTCCCACATCAGGCTCCCTGCTTGGCAGGGAGTCTGCTTCTCCCTCTGACCCTCCCCCACTCATGCTCTCTCTATCTCATTCTCTCTCTCAAATAAATAAAATCTTAAAAAAAAAAAAAAAAAAGAAGTCCTAGCCACAGCAATCAGACACAAAAAGAAATAAAAGCCATCCAAATCGGCAAAGAAGAAGTCAAACTCTCTCTCTTTGCAGATGATATGATACTTTATGTGGAAAACCCAAAA